TGGGCCACTATGCAGTAACATCTTGTTTTAGAGCTTGTTGTGTATAAGGTAAACAGTTTTGTTTGTTTGTTTTTGAATTTCGCGCAAAGCTACACGAGGGCTATATGCACTAGCCGTCCCTAATTTAGCAGTGTAAGACTAGAGGGAAGGCAGCTTTTTATGTAAACGTCAAAATTTGTTTTTCAAAAACAAGAAACATCGATAAGTTTGGGGGGTCTGTACAAAAACTTATCGATAAGTTTGGGGGGTCTGTACAAAAACTTAAATTAAAATGGGTCCTCGGGTTACTAAATTTTGAGATCCGCTGGACTAGAAGAAAAAGAGAAAGGTAAGCTAGTGGGTTTTGACAGTCACCCTTATAACGATTTTTTGGCGCTAACGGGACGCTAATTACCAAGCCCCTAAAAAAGATACAAACTGCCTCTGAGAATCAGCGATCTGGCAAGGTTGAATAATATATATGTTTTTAAATTGTGAAATCTTTATGTAAAACATTTTTGCCTTTTTGTGTTTTCTCGCCGTCATAAAATCTTACTTTTTAAGTCACGAAGATTTTTTTTTCTTTTTTTGCAAAACAACTTAGCAGACATAGGTGAGAATATACAGCCGCATTTTCCACTGATTAACACTCGATAAATTTAGGGGGCTCTTGACTACAGCTAGGGGGAAGCAAATGTATCTTTTGACCCTCATAACCACGCTAATATCGACCCTGCTGAACAGTCAGTTATTTAACGAATATCAGGTACGTTAAACCTAATCTTTCTCTTTCGTTAACGTTATCTGTGTTTTGAATTTATGGTAAAGCTATAAAGGCTATCTGTCATCGTCCCTAATTTTGGACTACTGACCAGAGGGAAGGCAGATAGTCAGAAACATCCTACCATCCACGCTAAGATATTGACTTTCACTTTGATAACGCAACCCACAGCTTACAGTGTGGAGTATATTGTGTGGTGTCACACGGATTCGAATCAGGATCGCCAACTACAAAATCCAGAACTTAACCATAGGGTCAATCCTCATTATCATTCAGGTTATCTGTTAAATGATAACATAACTTACATGAAATTAAATGTTACTTATCAGGACTGATTTACATTGATCAACACTACCAGAGTTACTTAATAACAAAAGTAATCAGGATTGATTTCCAATGATCAACACTGCCAGAGTTACTTAATAACAAAAGTAATCAGGATTGATTTTAAAATGATCAACACTGCCAGAGTTACTTAATAATAAAAGTAATCAGAATTGATTTCCAATGATCAACACTACCAGAGTAGCCTAATAACAAAAGTAATCAGGACTGATTTACATTGATTAACACTCCCAGAGTTACTTAATAACAAAACTAATCAGGATTGAATTGCAATGATCAACACTACCAGAGTAGCCTAATAACAAAAGTAATCAGGACTGATTTACAATGATCGACAGTACCAGAGTTACTTAATAACATAAGTAATTAGGATTGATTTGCAATGATCAACACTACCAGAGTAGCTTAATAACAAAACTAACCACTTACCGTTTGGAACCAGCGTTGGTAATACTTTTGTGGCAGTTGTTTAAAATATTGGATTCTGTAGTCTGGTCATTCAGTGTAGCACTCGTGTTCATCTTCGAAGCAAGTCGCTTCAAAACATCGTCCATTGAGCGCTTTCCATGGGGTCCATTAGTTGGCCGCAACCCCTCTAGAGTGGGAGATGGTTGGGGTGACTGGCTTGTCTCTGAAGGTCCATGACTTCCTCCTTCAACAATGCTATGCCCACCTTCGGAGTCACATTCTGAATCTGTTGTGGTCTCTGAAGAAACACTTTGTAAAAGTCGTCGCTTTCGGTTGTGCAGCAGCCTGGAAGTTGGTTTTGAGTCAAAGTCCCTTATTCCACTGTCGCACGAATCAATTTCGGTGTCATCCCGAGATCCCCTTTTTGAATCCTGTGGTCCGTTTTCGTGTTTAGAGTAACTCAGCCTCTGAAGAAGTTCAGAATTCCGATTTGGATTGGTGTTATCTGGAATATCTGGGGAATTTGCAGATGAGTCATAGTCATCATCGTCAGCATCTCTTCCAGAATTGTCGTCACCATTTTCATTATTTAATGGGGCGACCTCATTGTTATGATTTAGTACATCCGTTGAAAGCTTTGTGGGATGATTCTTCCGCTTTGAAGACATTTTTCTGTAAAGGAAATGTAATGTTTTAAGCAGGCATTTTAATATATAATATTAAGTTACACGACCTACATTACTGAAACATGTTCATAATATCTATTTTTGGAATGCGTTATACCTGTTTCTTAAATAACATCATGCTATTCCGTTATGACGATGGTGCAATTTATTTTTAAAGAAACATTAGTTTAAGATGTTTAATTACTTTGTTATTCACGCTGTAAAATTTTTTGCACTGAAATAGTCCAAGCCACATTATATCAGAGGCTCTTCTCCTCCTCTTTCAGAGGTAAACCAATCGTTCGTCACTTCAAAACTTGGGAGGTGTTTAAACCATAAGCAATGTATTCACAAGGTTTGCACTTTTTCTGACTATTCTTGCGATAAAATAGTATAAAAGCGAAAACCGATTCTGCGTTTCGAAGAGTCAGAAATCAGTCGGAACAGGGAACTTTTGCTGCTTGTGAGCAAACAAATAACCGTGCAAAGAGTATTTTGTGTATTATTAGAATATACAGAATAGCAAACATTTCAATGTCTTGTAGGTTTCCTTTTCGTCTATGAGTTACTTATATTTCTTAATTTAAAACCAAAGGCCTCTCTTTCTGACACCTCAAAACTTTGAGCCCTACTACATTGAACATGTTAATCCAAAACACCACTTTTAACACCTCGGAATGCTGAACTTTAACTTTGTGACATGTTTGTTTGTTTCTAATTATGCACAAAGCTACACAAGGGCTATCTGT